CCTGAGGGACGCCACTTGTGACCGGTCTCCAATACCAAATATTCCAAAACCTCAACTCTTTAAGCTGAATTTCAGGCAACAGCAGTCACAGTAAGAAAGTATAAGGAAGCAGAGCTAAAAAACCAAAACAATATATTCTCAGCTGCATATCTGAAGATCATAGAATCATAGAATGGTTAGGGTTGGAAGGGGCCTCAAAGATCATCTAGTTCCAACAACTTTGGATCAGTGAGAAGATATGAACCTCTCAGAAGAAACAAAACAGGTGCTGTAGTCAAAATAAAGACAACTTAACATCTGTTCTGCAACACTTCTGTAAATTGCTTAGAGCTTGTTAGCTGTCTGACCACATGATTTACACTTTAAAGTGTGAAGACACATATCAAATACACTGAACCACACAGTTTAATTCCTCCCAAATGGAATCAGTCCAAAAATTGCAATACCAGATGAATTCATATGGATGGCCAGTTAACTCAGCCAGAAGCAAAAGAACAGGTGTCTTCTTACCCATCAAGCAATGTTAACCTTTAACTTTGTCAGTGGGGAACTCTATAGAACTGTAAATACACAGCAGGTGCTGCTGAGACCGTGTCTTCACTGATGGAATTTCTATACATTCTCATCTGGAGATCCTTACTTTTAACAGTAAAGAATTCAGTTCCTTACCAAGAACTTTCAGAGGAGCTTTCTCAAGGTTCAGAATAGCTGTCCCAAAAGGAATAGCTAATGTTGTGAAATTGTTTGCATCACTCATCAGTGGGCATTCTGGTAGAGTGAGATACAGCCTCAAAGCTTCAACATCCGGTAAGGAGCTGGTCAATTTGGGAATAAGGTTCTTTTCCAAACTAGCTGCCACCTACAGCACATCATAAAATTCAGTTTATTCGAATGCAATTGTGAACTCAAACATTTCTAGGTAAAAAACAATCATCAAGAGTTTAAATTAGACATATATTTAGAAAAAAAGACAGCATATTAAATATTAAAATACAGACACGTACAATATGCTGATGTGTTACCTAACTGGCACAACACAACACAGTTTTGTGTTATTTGCAGTTGATATATTATTGAGTAGAGAAAGTTATTAAAAGGGTTAGAGCAAGCATAACAACAGTATTTCTGAATACATGTAATGCAGAGAGATAATACCAAACATAAGGAAATATGCAGCACAAACCTGTTGTGATATGTGAGCGTGGTCAGGCTGTATAAGTTTGTGAAATAGTAGTCTAGCAGCATTCATATCAACCCCTGAGAATCTAGTGCTGGTTTTGTAATGATCATCATTGCTGCAGCAAGAAAAAAAAAAAAAAAAACACGCAAAAATTATGACGGAATCCTGTATTCTCAGCAACTCAAGAATTTCTTCCATCTTGAATTTTTAGCCCTACTTACTAAGTAATTAAAACATGAGAGATCACAGTATCAGACTTCCATTTCTTACATGACCTATGAGGCAACTGGAAAAAAAAAAAAAAATCTTCTCTAACTGCAAGACCAATCATGTAAAAACACTTCTCTAAACCAGCCTGTGCAAAACATTCCCCTTGAATTATACACAACCTGTGGCTGCAAAGTAATGAGCTTTGCTGGCTTACACAGCAGCAGCCAGGTGGCACACACTTCCAAAGACTGGCAGAACACATGCGTTTGGGCCAGCTGACAAACCATATGGCAGCAAAGGAGCTCGAAGTTTACACTGCAGGTATCATAGTAACAGTAAGATAAGGAAATACGGGGAAGGTGTCACAGTTGAAATCAGAGACACTACGAAGGTAGCCACCATTAATTCTGTTCTCAAGAATACTTGTTTAAAAGCCTGAACACTTACCTCAAAGCCAAAAAGCTCCCATTCAGGCACCCGGCTGAGGAGAACGTTCCATCAATTTCACTGAAATCGTTCATATGAAATAAGTTACATTTATTTTGTTTTATTTTTACAAACCAGCATTTGTAATAAAAAATTGTATTTAATGCCTAATAAATTACATTGTACAGAGGATGGAACTCTTGACTTCGACATGACTAAACAACGCTAAATAAAACCTCCATTCAAGACTCAGCTCAAATGAAAGCAAGTCTCAATTTTTTTTTTAATTTCGCTGCATCCTCCTTTAATAAAGCAGAAGCAATAATCTTTGAGTCCTTCTCACGTTCCTTTACATGTACTGCTATTTTTCAATGTGCAGCTAGATACTTGATTTAATCTTGTATAGTCATCTAAACTGTGACAGAGATGACACAGACTAAAGGATATAAACTACTTGACAAGCACGACAATGAAAGCACATGAAAAGCTCTGCACCTAACAAAAAATAGCTTTGCTGTGTATGTACAAAACCCCATTAATGCCCAATTCATAAGTAAAATTATACAAGACAACTTCTTTCCTCAATGTCACTTACTTAGCTATCTCTACGGGAAGTCTTCCGGATGGGAAAGTCAGCAGTCTTTGAATAAACGTCTCATTCACAGTCCAGATCTGCTTCAAAAAGTCAGGATACCTAAAATCATCTGGCGGCATCATGTTCTAAATTACAAAGAAAGCATAAAGAATCACGTACACAAAACTGATCTTCAGAAAAATCAATCCTGCGGTTGAGCTCTTTGTCTCTTCGTTGACTGACAATTTGCCTACCCAGACTATGACTGTGAAATAAGCCCAAGGACAAATTTACTATATTCGACCGGTTCTGGATTCACTAGGAAAGCAGAGCGTAGTGTGTTAACTCACACGACAGCTTACTTCATGGCAAACTCCCTAAGCATACTAGTACTTCTTGAGAAGATGAACACTAAACAAGCTTTACACAAGAGTAGCAAGGATCTCTTCTCCTTAGTCACTATGAGCCAGTTAGCTCGCTGTCAGGCTGTGGAGCATATGGAAAAAGAGTCATTCAATTTTCTGGACAGCTGCTCTCCCACCTCACTTCCATCAGACTCCTCTGAGAATGAATCATTGTTTCTCTGAACATTTACTGCATCATCAGAGGAGCTGCATTTTGATGTGCTGCTCATACCAAACGAATTCCAGTACAGAGGAGCAGAACCAAGACCACCATTTTGAGTAGCAGCACTGGTTCAAAAAAGAGATGGTAAATAGTGCCAAAAATAAGGTTAAATTAGTAAAAGGAAACATATCTCTCCTGAGGGTGCAGTCTGACATCATAGCTGACTCAGCATAACGATGACTAGCTGTTGTCAAAAATCAGTACTTCTGATTCCCATCCCACTGGATCAGAATGAGAAACCCTCTGGCTGTTCCCCTTGTGTCCAGCTGAAGTATCATTTAAACTCACAATGAAACGACTCAGGGAACTGAGTTGCCGAAAAATTAACTAGAGAAAACAAACAGATTTTGGCTGAGACCCCTTAACTGGCAAGGACACACAAGTCTGAGCAGCACAGTACTCGGACAACTTCGAAGGAATTCAGTACAAATTACCCAACTGAGGAGTATTAAAAGGGACACTTTTGCAGCATCAAAGTTCATCCATTGCTAACACTTTCTGTACAGAACAAGTCATTAACTGCAGTCATACAGTCTCCACTTCACCTCAATTAGTCAGTAAGAACTTATTTCAGCGATTAGAAAATTGCACACGAGAAAGTTTTTAAGAAAGGAGTTTTAACAGAGAAGGTTTGAGCCTATATTATCAGTAATTTTTCCAGTCTACACCTGCTAAACAAGCTTCTCTCCAACACAGCAATAGTTACAACAACTCAATCAGAATTAAGAAAAAAAAAACAAAAAACACCTAGAAAAATTGTCGATTCTGTAGAACCAGAACAGGCTGTGGGAGCTGCTGTAGGCCTGATCTGTACTCAGTTTTTCTGACACAAACACTTTTCCCACCAAAAGCTGTTTTCCTTTACATCCCAATTAGTTTTCATCCCACATACTCAACTCTTGCTGTTTCATTAATCCTCATGGTCTAATATCTGCTGGGCTATGTTGGAAATAGTCCCTATAGAAATCAAGTCATACATCTTCATCTTGTTTTTTCCTCCCAACCCATCCTCTAATAGCATTTCCTTTCCATCATACTCCCACATTGTCATTTTTACTGTAAAGTCCTTCTAGATTTTTTCTCTACTAGAATTTAAACAGATCAATTCTTGTCCTTTTAAAACTTAAGTTTTAAGATGGGCTTTAAACACAAACTGTATCACTACCTATCATTTTTAGCAAAAAGCTCCATGTGTTTTCTCATCATTGTGGCATGCTAAAATGGCTGCAGAGCAGAAGACAGCAAAGCAGCAGTCAGGAGTTACTGAGGAGGGCTGGGCAGGGGTGAAGAGCTCAAATATTCAATCATCTTTTCCTTTATGAAAGGAAGGAGGTGCATGCATCCATCACTCAGTAAAAAGCCTATGCCAAAAAACTTGAAGAGCTTACTGACAGCTAACACGCAATAACTGGATCCAAGTCCTCCCATTGTTAAATTGACTTAGTGTCTCGGCTTCCACGCTGCTCTAACGAACTTTACAATGCAGTCATGCACCTTCAATATGAAAATCTTTTAAAACGCATCAGAAAAACTACCATTTAACTTTGACAGACTTCGGCACCAAAGTATATTTAATTTGTTACCTGTGGATAAAAGTAGTGTGCAAAGCTTTGGTCCCCACCAGAGAAAATTCTCTTTACACAATAACACTCCTTACTGTCTGCAAGAGGAATAAAAAACAGGTAACCGTGAAAATGTGAATTTGAGAAACGCTGAAGACACTGGAATCAACATTCAATTAGAAAAAGGTGCTTTTGTTACACACCCTCACTGAAGCAGATCTTTGCAATACAACAGTTAAGACTACCTTTAACTGCGGCAAATGTTAACAGCTCTAAGTTTTAGCTTTAGTGCTAGCCAAGGACCTAACCCAACAGCACAAGTAAGCATGTATTCCCTACAGCAGAAATGGACTTTAGGGAACACAACACAGGGAAAACAAATCATTTGGAAGAACGCAATTATAGCCCATATTTAGTTTAAATCTCAAGATTTGTAAGACACTATAAAGGAACAGGAACCCAAGAAGTAAATATGCCAGACGTTGCTTACCTGTGGTTATCAGGCATTGAGTACTGTAAGGAAGCCAGTTTCCTTTTACAGTGAAGGGACTTTTCCTATTACTGGTTGTTCCTGTACCTAATTGCCCATTACCTCCGAGTCCAAAAGAATAAATTCTTCCAGATGAAGGAACAAACGCAGTCGTGTGCTGCCTAGGGCAAACAAAATTCAGTAAAAAACCCCTTAAGAATCGTTTTGTGCAGGCCAGCCTAAGAATCGTGTTAAACAGTATGTTAAAGGTCCCACGGTATCAAACACTCCGCTCCTCTACTGGCAATGCTCCATCTATACTCCAATAGACAATATTCCATTTTCATGGAAAAGTTCACAGAACAGACATACCAGGTGCTGCCTTGAACCCCTGCTTGGCTACAATCCGACCTTTAGAGCCTATCTCTAGACACTCAGAAACATGAAGTGCCTACTAGATTGGCTGCGCTTCCTTTCCCCTCCTGTTCTCTAAACTCCAGATGCCCCCTCTCCTATCATGAGGCTGGGAAGAACCACTATTGAATTTATGTAAACTATTAAAAGGGAATGGGTCCATTCAATGTCAACCAAACTGCTAGAAAGATAGGTATAAGTTTACATATTTTTTTTAACCCAAATAACAAAGTGTGCCCATCTCTTAAAAAATCTTGTTGCCTCCCTCATTTTGTTGTCTTAGAATGCAATTTTCTGGACAAGAATGTTTTCATGCGTGCTGGGAATTTTTTGCCGTTTCTTGGGTGCTATTATAATATATATAATAAAAACTCATTATGAACTGAAGTGCCTTACCTGCCACAAGTGATCCGGACAAGAGCATTTTCATGCATGCTGGGCATTTTTTGCCATTTCTTGGGTGCTATTACAATATATATAATAAAAACTCATTAGGAACTGAAGTGCCTTACCTGCCACAAGTGATCTGCGTGACAACACTTCCCATGAGTTCAAAAACTTTCCTTGGGTTTATTTCATGGCTGGTAGAGTTATGACCCAACTGACCATAGCCTCCAGCTCCAAATGTAAAAACCCCACCTTCCTAAACAAATAAATTATTTGTATTAAAATGACAGCATATTTCAGAACAAGAAACTTAACAGAAATGGTGATTTAATAGATCTCCTTGTCTGATGATTTTGGAATTGTGGGGAAAGGAGAGAAAATATATGTGCACAAGAGGGCCCTGAGACACAGAAGGGTGACAAGTTAATTGCAGTTACAAAAATGTGGCACAGCTGTCCAGTATTACCTTATTCATGTTAAATCGCGTTCTTGTAATTTCCACACTATTACACACTAGTCCTGCCATTAACTTGTGTCATTAATAGATACTAATCCTCGTTCTTCCTCTTTTCCAGTTTTCTTGATGAACTACAACAGTATATAAACTCACACTATTAAAAAAGAGTATACTTTGGCTTTTAATTCCTGAATACAAATTTTAAATTACCAAATAGGAAGCTGCCCTCCTCAGGAAGATGATGCAGAGTATGACTGAAATAGTCAGCTTTGTTATTCGAAAGCATAAGAGACCAGAAAATTTCAACATTGTTGTAAGGCAAGTATTTTTTTTAAAGTGTTTTTGATTAATTTAATCAAGAAATTAACCAAAAACTTTAATGAAAGAATGCTAAATCAGAAACGTGCTCAGAAGTTATATAACTTACCTTACAACAACTTTGAAACTTCCCATTTTCAAATGCTTTGAAATTGTAAAGCTGTTTCTTTCAATTCTACTCTGCATCAGACTGGACCTCTGCTGGAAATCATCATTAAAATGGCAGCGTCCTCTGAGAAAAACCAACAGTCTCATTCACTGAATCAGGATAACAAACAGTGACAGGTTTTTCTGAATTTCTGAAGGACTTGAAGAATGCTTGCACATATACACAGTACTGTCTACAAAAGGTAGAAATCCCCCTTGTTCTGCAAGGCCTATCATGCAAGGTAAAATGGAGCTATATACAAATGGGAGACACAAATAATTTGTAGAAACGTTTACAGTAAATTCAGCATCTCAATCGAGGCAGTCAGCTTTAAAGCAAGTTTGAAGCTAACTTCTATATGTTAAAAGGGGAAAAACATTTAGATTGCAAGTTACAGATTGCTGCTTTCTTTACATTCTATATTTCCCTAACCTCGCACAATACATCAATATCAGTTTCAGAATTGCAAAGTTGCCACATCTTTTCCAGTCAAAGCAAGAGAACATTTTAGGACAAAAAGCAACTGTTTGTGAACAGTCTTTTCCCTTCACTGTAGAAAATTAAGTGTGTATAAAGAACAAAAAGTATGATCACATTTAGGCAGATCATATTCTTCAAAACAACTTTTAACTTGTTGCAGTGTAGAAACTCAAACTAACACATTAAAAAAAACCCATACATTTTCCAAAAGTAAGTAAATACAGATTTTTTTCTTCAGAAATAAAACATTAAAAATAGCTACTTTCAAAGTTCTAATGCCTTCTACAATGATATTCTGAATTCAACAGATTCAGGCATTAAATGGATATTTAGTCACTTGCCCAAATTTTGATCTGCCAAGAATTGTTTTTTACTGCTATCAGTAATAAGCTCAAAATATTCTGTTTATAAATTGATACATTTTATTGAGAGTGATAAACAACAGGAAATGTCAAAATATTAATACATACTGATTTATACCTAAATGTTGAAGTCTAATCCAACTATCAAACCACAGAAAAGTACAGGAGTGAATCATTTAAGGGAAGACAGGTATATATTGTTTTACCTACCACAAAATAAAAGTACTTATCATCACTTGATGCTTGAAATAGACTACTCGTCACTAAAATGAGTGTCAGAAAGAGCACTGGCATTATACATTTTATGTGGCTTCTAAAAGTTTCCAACTAAGTTCAAAAGTTTACAAATAAGTCTCCAACTAATGCATTTAGCCAACAGTCATATAGAAGGCAATTTGACACATTTCAGCTCTCAATTCTAATTAGTTCCTACATTTCTGTGCAAATATGTCACATTGACACAGAATACATGCTTTTTTCCCAAATCAGCCTTGAAATAAATGACCAACTTTTCACAGAACCTCACACTACAATATTTACTAGTGGATTATGTAAATCTTCAATTTCTTCTATTGGTTTGACAATAGTATGTAAATGGCTGCTGTGCAACAGCAGACAGGAGAGAGGAGTGAGAATATGTGAAAAGAACAACTCTGCAGACACTAGGGTCAGCGAAGAAAGATGGGGAGGAGATGCTCCAAGCGCCAGAGCAAAGGTTCCCCTGCAACCCACGGTGAAGACCATGGTGAGGCAGGCTGTCCCCCTGCACCCCACGGAGGTCCACACTGTAGCAGAGATCCACATGCAGCCTGTGGAGGACCCCACACGGGAGCGGGTGGATGCCCAAAGGAAGCTGGGAAGCCCATGCTGGAGCAGGCTCCTGGCAAGATCTGTGGCTCCACGGAGAGGGGAGCCCAGGCTACAGCAGGTTTGCTGGCGGGACTTGTGACCCTGTGGGAGATCCACGGTGGAGCAGTTCCTGAAGAACTGCAGCCCGTGGGAAGGACTCACATTGGAGAAGTTCATGAAGGACTGTCTCCTGTGGGTGAGACCCCACGCTAGAGCAAGGGAATAGAGCGAGGAGGAAGGAGCAGCAGAGATAAAAATGTGATTAACTGACCACAACCCCCATTCCCCATCCCCATGCACTGCTCAGAGGGAAGAGGTAGAGAATTCAGGAGTGAAGTTAAGCCCAGGAAGAAGGGAGGGATCGGGGAGAAAGTGTTTTAAGATTTTTTTTTTTATTCCACATTACCTCCCTCTGACTACAGATTGGCAATAAATTTAACTAATTTCCCCAAGTTGAGTCTATTTTGCCCGTGATGGTAACTGGCGAATGATCTCTCCCTGTCCTTATCTCACCCATGAGCCTTTTGTTATATTTTCTCTTCCCTGTCCAGCTGTAGAGGGAGTGATAAAGCTGCTTGGTGGCCACCTGGCATCCAGCCAAGGTCAACCAACCACAACAGCAATTAGTAATTCACTACAAAAACTTCAAACAACCACATATACCAATCCCCCCAGCATTTAAATCCAAAATTAAGTTGGTCTGATCAGTGGTAACAGTAATGCAGAAAAAAACAGCTAATCAGCTACAGTCAGAAAACAGCTAATCTCTTTTGGATACACTAATGCAAATTTCAATATCTGCATAATTTTAATAATGCAACAGGCACTGTCGTATCAAAAATGCTTAGTTGCAACAAATCTGACAAATTTAAAACTACTGAAAGATTTCTTGTATTTGTTAAGTTTCTCAAACATTTAACCATCCTTCCAGTGTTTCCTCAACTTACAATAATCTCTGAAGAAATTTTCTGTGGAATTTTGTTTATTATTTCCTATTGAAGTAGCACCTTCTCCTGAAAGCGTTAAAAAAAAAAAAAATCAAAGCATACATGTATCTTTAAATATTGTACCTTTGTAAGGGCAGCAGTGTGATCTTCGCCACAACATATATGAACAACCTTCTGAGTTCTCAGTGACTTCAGCAGCGTAGGAACATACCTGTCTGAAAGGTTTAATACAGCAGTAGGTGGCTTATTTTGGAACTAAGCATCAGAAAACAAATAGTTTTGCTCATTTATTCCGATTCAGCTCCAGTCAAACAAGCATTTTAAATTTGTCAGCATAACGCAATCGTCGTGACTGAGTTTATATTATCTTTGACACGGAAGCGTTATTGCAGAAAAACAGAGACACTACTATATTGAAATACTTTGTAGCAAATAGTCTTATTTTTCGCTAGCATAGGATCATATGTCAATATATAAATCATGAAATATGGAACAGTATATTCGCCCTACTATTGGCCATGAGAAAAGAAAACAACTGACAGTTGTTTAAAGTCATTTATGTGATTCATGTTTTTAAAGCGTTCCTGTAAGTTGTTATCAGTTGGTCATAGTTCAATATCACTAAACATGTAATAGAATGGAACACTGAGTAACTAGGAAGCAAAACTAACTTCCTTCCATCACCAGAACAAATCAACTTTGTCATCCAGTTGCATAACAACGAATTTTTTTTTACATGTTAATGCTATTGTCTTAAAACTTGTCAGGTATGCTAAGACGCCTGGAAGAAGCCCTATCAAGACATAAAAAAGGGATTTTACTGAGAAGTCATAATATATAAAAAAAACAGAGTCACACATATTCCAAAGAATATGAGAAGCAGCTGAAATCTCCCATGAAAATTTCATTTCTGAAAAGTACGTGTAATTTTCTCAATACATGAGTGTGACCAAATTTAAAGTGTTAATTCAGATACGCATTTTAACTACAACACATTTTCCTTACTTTAAATGGTGTTGAAAACAATGAACCAATAAGAAAATCTGAATTCATGAAACCATAGATTATTCTACACTAAACTGTCTATTACAGGAATCTGATAGCATATGCTCCCATCTTGGAGCCCTGTGCATGCACAGTGCATGTAACATAATACAACTAACAAAACCAATTTTTTGCATAACCTAACCACTTGCTTAAAATAGTTAATGAGTATCAATACCCTGGTAAAATTGTGAATTATTATCAAAAGTGGCCTGAGAAAGACAGATACCCCACATGGCAGTAAAACAAGGAGGATGCCTTAAATGTGTCTACTAAAGACAACTAAATAGTTTTGATAGACTTTGTCAAGCAGCTTCATCTACCTAAAATTCAGTTCAAACTGTAACTACTGCACAGTATCTTAATTCAAACCCATTCAGAAAGTTTATGCCACAGAAAAATCTAGAACAGGAAAAGAAAACAAGCCAAGTAAGCTAGATTTTCAACCTAACACTGTCAGAACTTTCACTAGGAACAGCTGAGGAAAAAGAAACTCTGTATCTTCCTTATGCAATCTCACATGACATCAGCACTCTCCAACAATACTCTGCAAAGGTTTGTTCTGTCTGCTTCTTTTCTAGGAATACTGTTGTCTTCAGATTCACAAACAAGAGCTCCAGCATGAAATTCTACTGAAGTAATGATTACTTACCATTCTCATCATTAAGACCCAGCTGCCCAAATTTGTTACGTCCCCATCCAAAAATGGCTCCAGAAAGAGTTAGTACAAAGCTATGAGCTCCTCCTGCTGCAATCTGTGCAAAAGGGATTCCCAGCAGAGATTTAATCACATGTGGTGAGCTTTGTTTTTTATACTCATAACCTAGGCCCAGCTGGCCATATTTATTTTGTCCCCAGGAAAAAACTTCACTTCCTGTTTAAAGGGAAAAAAAACAACAAACAATACAATCAATATAGTTTTAATTATATAAAGTTTATTTTCTGTAAGAAAAATTAAAAACTAGACAGTTAATCTTCAAATATTTTTGAGTTTGAAAACACACACAAACTACTGACTTCTGAAGCTAAGCATTCTGGTGTCATTTGCAGACATTCAACTCAAATATTTGATCAGACTTAAAGTATTTAAATCACATGCAAAACCCTAAAAACTGCCCTCAACATTCCTGTTTCATCAGTGTTAGATAAGTTGACTTTGGTTATTACCAAGCAAGACGCTGTTCCAATGAGAGTTACACTAGTGTACATATTTTTATGCAGAGATCTTGTTGATGTTGCATACTGAACACACAAAAATTTCCAATTTCCAATCACAAGCCCCATTGAAGCTTTTATAGGGTAACACAGTTAATTTGCACATACAATTTAAGTGACATACAATTTTAAAATATTGTATTGATCAATGAAGCACAAAGTTTATAATGTCATTTGATGCCTTATAAAGCAAAAAAACATTCTGAAGAATCACAAACCAGTGAGCTGTTTCTGTTAAGATTGAATCCAAAAGAAAACATTCTGCTGAACACTGAATGTTTTGCCAAGGTATTTACTACCATGAAGATCAGCACCTAGTCACAAAGATATTTTGCTTTTGCTGCTGCGGTGCATTTCAAACAGCAATGTCACTTTCAAGCAGTAATGTTTCCTGTGTCTCTCCTACCTCCCTCTTTCCAATTATAGTTTTATCGAGACAGAAAACAGTGACACTTGTCCCCTGGGATACAAGCTTCACAGATTTTATGTATTTATTTAAACAACAACAACAAAAAAACACAAACCAATCAGACAAAAAAGACAAAAAACAATCCCAAACCACCACCTTTGTATACACAACAATCTTCCTAACACCAAAGCAATCCTATGCCCATCATTTATAATCACATGAACTAATTCACCTAATCAATATCCCATATATAGATCTAAAACCACTGTGAAGTTTCTGCTCAAAATGTCTCATTCAAGTAAATTCATACCATTTTCCTACCTGCGTGGGTCTATTTTTAAGGCCATAACTGTGACTGACCTTACTACATTTCAAGTATTTCTACAGGTTCTCTTACAACCAGAAAGAAAAGAAAAAAAAACCCTAAACATGAAAAAAAAACACCCTACAACACACGTAAAGAAAAGAAACATAGAGCTGCAAATCCCAGCAAAATTTTGAAGACCGACATTTAAACCTTTCGAAAGGTGGGTTATAATGTGACATTACATTTTAACTATTGAAGCACCAATCAAAAAGAGACTTTGCAAGAGAAAAGCAGACAAGGACGTCATTGCCTGCAAGCCTCAGTAACTCGAAGCTACAGGTTAAAACAGACTAGTGCATGCTAGTGGGATGAAAAACAAAGGGCACTAAAAACGAGAGAAACAAAAATGAAGTAAAGAAAGGAAATTACATGGAAGTAAGATGATAAAAAAAGCAAAAAAGCATAAGAAAAAAAGCAGAACACCACATTCGTTTGTATATTTATTTTTTTAAATTCAAGCTTCCATCATTAAATTACACTTCCCCTACCAACCCAAAATCCCATCTGGGTTAAATGGTAGCATGTTTAAAAAAAACATTTCCTTTTTAAAAAAGACAAAACAAATGTTGAAACCTTTAGAATTACCTGGTAAGAAATTACTCAAAACTTCAGAAGAATTTGGCTTACCTTTTGAGAGTGCTAGCGAGTGATAATAACCACAAGCAACTTGAACAATCTGGATGTCTGATAAGCTTTTAATATTTCTATCGGGGTAAGAAAACAGAGAAAGAATGAAGCTTAGATCATGGTATGAAGTATAAAGTCACAATGAAGGGTAACATACAAAAAGTGAATCCTTTTCACTGAAGCATACACAAAACTAATTTAAATATCTTAACTTTAATTAGAAGCTATTTAGTAAAGTCTTAAGTCAAAATTGCTTCTTTCCTAACACTTTTAAGGACAGGTTCTGTCTTATTTTCAAATTGATGCAGTCAGTAAAAGATCATAACGAAGAATTAGGGAGGTTCATGTGCTAGGAAGGAGACCGGACACACAGTCAAATGGAGGAAAAGAATACCCAATGCAAGAAGAAAATTATTCTTTCTAGTTTTCAAAATAAAAAAAGGTTTTACAATCTTATTCATATCAATATTAAAGACTGAATTACTTTCTGTTAAAATTTGAACACTCAATTTTTCATCTCTAATAACATTAACTTCATCCAGAACTTCAGGTTACAGAGCTATTAAGGATTGCACAATTTTATAAAGAAGTTGCAAATACATAAAAACGTGCATTAAATCTAGCAGGCTTTCAAGTTTTGATGAGAAAAACAGGAGTTTCCAAAAGGCCTGTGGGCTTTTAAGTTTGATACAGAAATAAATAACCTTTGTAATAGTTACTTATTCATATTTACACGTTAGAGATAGCCACGATAAAGTTACAAATTACTAATATTCCAAAGAATTCTACTTTTGTGTCTTTTCCTATGTAAAAAGGAGGACTAGAAAAGAGAACCTCCAGCTTGCAAACATACAAACTTACTGCTACAGAGAGTTTACTGATTTCAGTGACCCTATTCATCACAGTAAAAGTGTGGACTTCAGCTAGCTGGAATGCTTACAGCATTCTGAAAACAAGCAAGTGAATCTGGCCAGCATTCATTTTTATAACCAGAAGGCACCTTATTTGATCGCAGCTAAAAAACCTCGGGGTGAAAACTGAAGTATAAAGATCAATTATCAAACGTACTTTCTTCAAATGTACTCCCACAACTGGTTTTGAAAGTTTAACATTCTGCTTCTCTAACTTCTCTTAAACAGCAGTTATAAATCCCCATTTACATTCTTAAAATACCCATCCTACTTTTCCAACATAATTCCCATTCTTAGCAGATGACTATTAAAAAAAAAAACATACCCCCCAACAAACCAAACCCGTAACACACTTCTCACATAAGCTGACTTTCGAGAAAGGAAACTGTCTACAGCAAGTGCCATAGCTAAAACACACTTTCTAATGTGCTTTTTTAATTATAACAGCAGAATAGCTTAACCAATGTGATTTAAGCACATTAAAAAAAAAAAAACAACAAAAACACACAACCAAACTTGTTATATACTAATTATTTTTAACCTGGGCACTCTGATGCATTCCTCTGTTCCTGGCAAGCCAAGCTGTCCATCAGTAGCCAGACCCCAAGCATATACCTGACCCTTGTCATTTAATGCAAGAGTGTGGGCTTCTCCACATGACACAGCTACAATATTTTGGGCATCCAGTGCACCAACATGCTCTAAGAAAGAAAAAAAAAAAATTTAATTGGTTACAAAAAAAAGCTACTAACAAGCCTGTGTTGTTCAAGACAGTTACACTCACTGCTAAGATATCAATTGAAACAACACAGAAGAAAGCCCAGCAGTCTGCCAAAACATCCTTCATTTAAAATTATAAGCATGCTATTCTAGGAGAAGTTAAATCTGACACCCTAAAGTAACCAAACAACAACTGTATCTGGAGCAATATACAGAAGAGCACAAAAATTGCAGCTTGATCATAATGGTTCCTTCTAATCTTGTCCTCTGAAAATGAGTGCAGAAACTAATTAACATTAAGGTCAAATAGATTATTGTCAAATGACTACACGTGTAGACATTATGTAAGAGGAAAACATTCCACCACAGCAAATTAAACTCACCTATTCATTATTAACAAAAAAGCCTGGAAAAAAAGGCAGGGCAAGTTAAAGACTAAAGCTACTGATTTTGCAATAAGCTACACAATGTCCTCTTTATAATGCAAAATACTGTAGAAATAGACCCTAAAGAGGAATTTTTCTAGATATACAGTGCACACCTCTGAAAAGCAACACGAAAATACCTGTGACTTTTTCCAGCAGTCTGCATCAATACCTTTAAATACATTTTGAAAAACTCAAGGTTTGTTTTTATGCTTCTGATTCGTGATCAGAAGTCTAATATTTTCATTTCATCGACAGTAAAACATCATCAGGGCCCATCCTTAAGGCAGGAATTTTCAACAGTCCCCTTAAATAAAAGCCTGCTTGGACATTTTATGCCCAGTTTTCAAACATATAAATTCTATTCCTGCCCAAGAATGGCACACCACTGAAAAAGCCTGTGTATCATCAATGTAACATGCACTGTAAACACAGCCTCAGCCAATTTCAAAACAGTAGCTAACAGTATCTGCAACTGACAGGCACTCAGTTTCCAAAATAAAGTAAGAGAGGTAGCAGACATAAGTTCATTTATGAAAACAGCTGGTCATTAAAGAGGTTACCACCCCAATTCAGCCCATTCGGGCCTCCACACCTCCGCCAGGGGAAGAGATCATGTAAGCACTCCCCAATTCAGGCAACAGCATGCAGATTAGCTCAGACTATCTTCACCAGCTGCTAAACTAGCCAGGCTGACTTTGCCTAATATGGATTTAGGAACATTCACACAATCCCTACAACAAGCAGAGCTCTGTGGGGAGGACAGAGGGAAGGCACAGCTAAATAGTGCCACTGGTGACACGGAGGTGGCAAAGACATGCAGTCAGCGAGAAAATTACCTTCAGTTAGCAGAAACACATTCAAAGGATAGCATCCACTCACTTGTAAAGACACTGAGCCTCTTTAAACCGCACAAGTAAAGATACCCCAATGCACTGACTTCACATTGGAACATTCAACAGTATTGTCAGTAACCTCTAGAGGAAAGAAAAACTAGGGAGGAGGACATGACAATCCTCATGATTGCTGTGTCTGAGCATGTTAAAAAAAAAAAAAACAGATTTATAGAAGGTGTTTGTGCATGACATAAAGCTCATAAAAGGCTGTTTTAAAAAAATAATAATTAAAAGTCAGATACTTTTATTGTAACTTTTAGATTTAAAAGACAATTCAGCATAATTTTCAAGTTTGACAAGCTGAGTTTCTACTCGTGTTCACGAAGCAGATATTTGCATAGGATTAAAGTTTAACAGTTTTAATATCAATTTCTTGTTTCCCAATAGAAGCCCAAATTAGTTTAAAAAAGTTACGCATCAACTACGTAAGAAAATCTTTCCATGGCACCAAATCCGAAACTCTGAATAAAGAACTTCTAAGACACTACATAATGCCTTATTTCCATTTGAAATATTTGTATCAATTATTGTGCCAAGTAACTTGTAAAATTGCTATATTAGTGATTAGAATAAACTCTTACTAAGCCTTTTCAGTTTGCCTACGGTGTAAGCACTGTTCCATATCTCTCAGCGTCACGCAGCCTATGACTCACGCACAGCTCTGAAGGGAGCCCATGTGCACACTCCTCTGCAGTCCCTGCAAGATGTTTACCCACTTCTGCTATAGAACTGCACTAGCAGGAAGCAGAAACACACAGATCTATGCCTATGTTATAATACAGATATAAAGAAAAAAGCCCAAATAAGTTTTACATGGCATCCTCTAGGCTTTTCCAAATCTTCTTCCTGTAACACTGCCTATGCTGAAAAGCCTTTTATCAAAAGTTTTATTTTTAGTTCTTAAAAAAAAAAAATTGTCTACTATGTGATGCAGCAGGTCTGATTAAAGCAATTAAAAACACATAGTTGAGAAACATGTTATGGGAAATATTCATTTCGACCATATTCCAGTAGCCAAACCCATACATATAGTACAATGTTAATCCATGTATTGAAGCAGGTCACCTTCCCTGGAGATTAACAACAGCCACTGAGTCTCTCATGGCTTTAGGTAAAGTGATTCCACACTGGAAATGAAAAGTAGTGGCACTGTCCAGCAGCACAGCAGGCAAAAACACAGGGAGACAGCTACGTTTCACATTGCGTTGTTTCCAACTACCATACGATGCAATCCAAGCAAAGGAATGCTTTCCAAGTCAAAAGTACACCCATTGTTGGAAGAACTACTGTGCATACAGTTCAGCACGTGCACAGACACTGGCCGTCTTGGGTTTGACGTAGCATAACGAAACAAAAAATACAAGCACAAGCACAACCACGCGTACTCTCCACCATTCATTACTTACCAGGTCTTTTCCTAGCTTTTTCATGCCCTAGTTGTCCTAGATCATTGCATCCACATGTATAAACAGTCCCATCATCCAGGACAAAAACGGTATGTCTCAGTCCACATCCTACATCTCTGATCCTTTTATTTACGAAAAAGTCACTTTTTCTGGGTTCTAAAACAATCTCTTCATCAATTCCACCCAATCCAAGCTGTCCAAAAGATGCGTTTCCCCAGCACAACATGTTTATGCTTCTCTTGATCAGAGCTCTTCCAACTTCACTTTTCTAGAATATCCCTTCTGCGTAGCTGTTGAAAAAAAGAAAATGTACAGTTTTTCAGTATTGTCCCTAATGTTTATGTCATCTTCTATATAGCATTTAATCCACAAGTTCACTTTCTATATATCAATATACTGAAACATTGAACCATTTTCAAGAGCATGATTCACTTTCTCAGACAGCGTTTACACTAACCCTACAGTAAAATGCTTTCCTTCCCATTTCGGATTCAACTTTATAGATATGTTGGTCCTCAGTTTTATGAGACTTTGTTTCAAAAATTTTAAATACCATTCTTCGTAGAACCTCTCTAATCCTAATCCCTAACTATACAAATGGCAGTCACAACCAATTCTAGCCAGTGGAAATGACCTCAAACATCTTTTAAGGAGACAGTACGGGCTAGTTTCTTTACACAAGGAGCTGCATGACTCCCGAAAGCACTAGGTACGGCCTCCAGATCATCCTCAAAAACAACACTTGACTCATAGCTTGGAAAAAATTGGTCAGCTCTGATCAATCCAGTTATGCAACACAAAGAATACTATGATGTGTCAATCATTACATTTAAACAACTATGAGTCAACTGAACTTCCAATTTAAAAGAAAATAAAATAGCTGAATCTCAAGTCTCCAATCTGATATTCCATTATCAGTATACATGCTGACAGACCCTGTATCTATTTGGAAAGGATACAAAGTTACACTTCTCTTTCATTTCCAGCATTGCAGATCATGAAGAATGTATGACAATGTTTTCACTGTTACACCACACTTCCATGACAGTAAGTTTCCCTATATTTTCAGAGCAATTTAAAAGAAAAAAAAAATCAATGCAATGCAGTGTAAAATTGCTACAAATTTTCATCTGTGACCATTACCTGGGAGACACCATGAAAAATTGAACGTGGAATACAATGCGCGACAAACGCATTCAGTCTTAAATTCTGCAGGGCCTTAACACGTATAAACCACCTAAACATAAAACTACTCAGAGCAGCAAGCCATCAGTTAGCACCTAAGTATTACATAAATCAAAGCAGGGCAGAGTTCTTGCCAGCACAACAGGATGAACTACTTTTCTCTGCAAAAGTCGAAATGCTAACAAGATGCTCATTTTTGTGATCTCATTAAAAAAAACCACCAAAACAGCTAAACAGCTTAAAATATATATTGCATTCTGTTTACCTATCTCAGGAGATGATGCATGATCAAATATTTCCCTAGCTATCACTAGCTATATCCTACCACATTCAGAAGGGGACATCAAGATGAAGACGCCATCGGTTAAGACATAGCTATACAACAGCAAATTTCACGCATTCATAGCGGTGACTGCAACGCAAGCTTCAACCTGCAAGACAAGAAGTTAGAAAAGACGTATGATCACAGTGCTTCAGTATTTCTGTAATCAAGATTTATCTCCATCTCCAGTGGCGCAAAGGAAGAAAAGTTCTCCTTTCTATTGAAACGGAGATGTATTTCCATAGAAGGTGTTTTGTTTTGTGTTGGTTTTTTATTTGTTTTAAGAGTCAGTAGCCAAAGAAGTCTGTACTTTGATCTCAAATCACGGCAGCATTTTATCCCTGTATGTAGTCTTAAAGTCAACTCACGTCAGCTGCTGGATATTACCATGCATGACGTCAAAAGCAGTCGGATGCCGACACCAAGTACAGAGCGCGAGGGAAACCACCCCGCTCGTTCTCCGCCACAGAGCGCGAGTAACGGTACTACAGGAAGAGTCTGGACGCTTCCCGCGGGCTGTGCAGCCTCCCCGTGCGCGGGCCCCGCCGCGCTCTCAAAGCGCCCCGGCCATCCCGAGGCTG